TTGCTTCTGCCTATGGGAGTGCAGGGAGAAGGAAGCTAGGTAGTTCTTCCCAAATGCTCTAGTCCTCCACGAGTGATGCTTTTATCTGTACCTCCCAGTCCTGTCTGAGGCACTGAGGGACAGCTCTCCTGCTGTGCCAAATGCTGTGGGGAGCCCTACAATGCCCTTTACCGTAGGTAAAGGCTTTGTCTTCCGTAACAAGTAGCTTTTGTGAAAAAAAAGTCCTGAGCCTGACTGTGCAAGAAGCCCCTCAGGAAATGTACTCTTTGCCAAAAGTCATGAGTCATTGTGAGCTTTGAGCTGGAGCAAAGTGTGCTGAAAAGCTGAAACAGGGGAGGGAAGGCGATGTCTGCAGTACATGGTGAGGGGAGCAGGATGCTGCAGTGCACCGGGGCCTTTGGGCAGACCACAATTGTGAGCACTGAATGGAGGATTTCCACGTGTAAAATTATGTGAGAATGATGAGATGCATATGGAGATGTTGACATCTACTTGCATCCACAGCATCTTGCTTATGTTCTTGGTCAGCAGCAGCTGGTGGTGACTATAGATGTCCTATGGGATGCTAAAGCTTCCAAACTTTTTTAGTGATGACTATTGAATTAGCATGGAGTTTCAAAGCAGAATTTGTTGAAAGCCTTGAAGAGAAAAAAGGAACAGTCCTGACTCCATAACCATGGCCTTTGGTGGTGTGTTAAGAGGCATCTCTCCTCTAACAGCCATCTGCAGTCAGTTATAGGTACATAAAACTTCACAGGAAACTTTGCAGGTGGAGAAGAGAAGGTCAAAGAACATGTGAATGTCTCCTGATGTTAAATTTCGATAGTCTAAAACACAACAGGGTATATCCAACCTGACTGGGAAGGCTCATACTTAACTTTGGCAGAGTTAGGTGAGACATGAAGCAATGGTGGCAGCTACTCCTGTTATAGGAAAATGTTTTTAAGACTTGTATTTTAGGATTGGAAGGCAACATGAGGCATGCATTTTTTAAATCTTCAAAGCAAAGCCCCTGAGGGTACAAGGTTGGCATCAAAAGCTGTAGTTGGATACTGTGCACACTGCTGGATGCATCATTTGCTTGTGCTGATGTATCATTTCCAATGGAAAAATTTTGGTCTCTAATCCTGTCACTTGAAAGGAACTTGTGTGGCAAAATGCGTATGTCATGAAAAGTTAAATGAAAAGGGAGAATTGCAGGGAAGAAAAATCAGTGTCCCTATTTACTTAATTCCCAAGTTTTGCATACACGATGAGCTTGGGTATCTCACAGTAATGGTAGCTCTAGGCTTGGGGCGGTCCAGATCAGTATAAAAGCCAGTCCAGCACCAGGCTCCCTCATCCACTTCTCTTGCCTTCTCCTCCTTGGTGAACAAG